CAATCTGAAAACGTGGAAGTCCATTCTTAACCCAAGTACACTTTTCTCTTTTTACAATTTCAAATAAAGAAATACAAAAATCAGACACACAACCACAGAACACTTTCAGTTGTTTTTGCTTACAATGTGCCAATAAGTAAAATGGAAAGTTTGTAATTGCAGATTATTTTTGCAAAGTCTGAAAAATTTAGAAAGTCTTTATTTTATGGTTACTTCATTTTCTGCAACCTCAGATTTTCATCAGGTTAAGGAGTGTCTTCAACATTTCTCCTCCCCTCAGAAATAAAACTTGGGTGTTTCCTATAATGACTGTCCCCTCATTTTTCTTTTTTCTTCCTCACCTGTAAATGGGGCTAATAATCCTTGATTACCTCCCAAAGACTTTAACAGCATTTTCTTTAACGAAAATCTTGATTAACAGCTTATCTACGAGAATAATTTTAAATACGTTTTTCTTTGTAGTTTGTTCTCCTTTAAGTTGGCATCTATCGAAATAGATGGGATTCTTCTATTCTTGGAAGAAGCCAAAGCCCCTCCTGCAGGGGACATCAGACACCTGATATGAAAACAATATATTTACGGCGGGGGCGGGGGGGGGGGGGTCATCCTATAAATCAGCAGGCAGGATAATGTAGCATGGGGGTTGGAGTCTGGCCACCTTAATCCAAGTCCTGCCTCGTTTACTTACTGTTTAATCCCACACAAGTTGCTTTTACCACTAGAAGATTCGGTTTCCTCCTGGGGAAAGTAACAGTAGCTATCACACAGAGCACCGTGAACAGTAAATCACAGGAGGCCCTTAGAACAGTGCCTGGCACACAGTGGACACTCAATAAAACTGGAACAAAGCTATCTATATCTTCAGGCCCATTTAAAATAATTTAAAAAATTACTCCCCTATGCTCAGCAGGCCTGGCTCAGTGGTTGAGCATCAACCTGTGAACCAGGAGGTCACAGTTCAATTCCTGGTCAGGGCACATGCTCAGGTTGCGGACTCGATCCCTAGTGGGGGGCATGCAAGAGGTAGCCAGTCAATGGTTCTCTCTCATCATTGATGTTTCTATCTCTCTTTCCCTCTCTCTTCCTCTCTGAAACCAATAAAAACATATTTTTTAAAAATTACTCCCCTAAAAAGCATTGCCAGGAATAAGATTACTGTATTAAAATGTATAAACCAGCACATAAACTTGAACTCTATCTCTTAATATGAATCCACTATGTATATAGGCAGTAAGAGTCAGACAATGACTATTCATTAAATGCCATTCCACTGAGTTAATAATCTCAGGAAAACAGTAAACTTTGTTCTAGGGAATCTTAGGAAAAAATATTAATAGGAGTTCATATCTTAAAGGAAATGCAGATCTTGGTCTCCTCACCACAGTGTGAAAGGTCAGTCGGGGTGACCCCCTAGGTCTTTCCAGCTTTGCATGTCTATGACCCAACCTCTCCTTAGACAGCCCTCCACCCTCACCACAAAGCCAGAAGGGGCAGTTTCTTCCCTCTTTCCCAAACATGCCTGACCTTTGATGTAAGAATTCTGCTTATCTCATCCTCTTTCACTTTACCTCCACCTGGAATAGCCTTTCCTCACCCTGAGAAGCAGCTCTGGCCATCACCCCAAGTTTAAATCTGACCCCTTCCTCCAGGCTCTTAGTTTGTCACCTCCTGCATCTGAATTAATGCACTGTCTTCAAAAATCTAGCGTGCACATATGTGCATATATAAATCATTTAATTTAGCTAGATCTGTGGTCACATCAACAGAAATCTATCTTAACTGAAGGCACACTGGGCTCTGAATTTAAAAAAACAACACAATCCAGGTTTCTACTGCATCAATATCAACATTTTTACTACTGGCCAAGCTGACAAATTTATGACAATACAGAATCGAATAGTTGATATAACTGAAGGTGAAGGTCATGCCATAAAACGTTTAATAATCCACTTAAAATAGTTAAAAAATAAAGTCTGAATACAGAGAGAAGAATGTGCATCAACATTAGTGTTTTTCTTTTCTTTAACCAAGCCCCATTTATAGTGTTTTAAATTTCTTAAAATTTCATTTCTTCTTCCAAGTTTAACTAACCCTTTTTACCAATCTATATTATAATCTGGAGATCAGGATAAGAGAACTGAATTCTGCTTTGGATATAGAAGACATATTCTAATCAAACAAAGCTACCAGAATAAATCATCTCTACAGAAAATGAATTAATATGCTTTTTCTTTCTTTAAAAAAAACACCCCTGTAATATTAATAAAAATATAACATACTTTAAAGGTTTAAATTCTTAAAATGAGAATTCATAATATGATAACAGCGTATCAAAGTGTAAAAGGCAGTGGGCACATCCAGTACTGGGTGAGGGCGCTAAGCTATGAGGTTATCATATTATAACATGGAGGGCAGTTGCAATACCCTGCCACCATGCACTACCAGCTCTCTTGGGTGTCATTTTCACCTGCGACTTACGAGATTTTCCGGTTTGAAGCCTCATCATCAGTGTGTAAACTGAAACTGCTCCAGAGGCAACAGGGAGAGAAGCAGCTCTGGTGGCATTTGAACTGAAGATACTCAGGCAGAGAAACCAGTCTGGTGGTGGTGTAAGAGATGAATGGAACCGGAAGAAGAGGAGACAGTAGGAACAGAAAGGACAAAGTAGAGGAGGAGAAGACAATCAGAAATGTGATGGCGGAATGAAAAAGAAGAGCAACTAAATGAAAGCCAAAAGGTGAAGGAAATGTGGGGATCAGAGCGAGAAAGGGGAGAGAGGAAGGAGGAGGAAGAGAAAAAAAATGTAAACAATCTTTGGGTATATGAAAAGCAACATGTACCATATGCCTGTACATCTGATTGCTGTTTTTATAAATCACAGATGCTAGCAAATGACCAAATACGAAATTAGAATCTAGGCACAAATCCATGAACCTCAAGAGCTGGAATATCATTGATACGCATTGTTTAAAAACAAAAATCAAAGCTTCAGGTCAACAAGTTTCATGAAAGTTACTGCCACACTGATTCTCTTGAGTGACTAGAACCTGGGGAGGAAATTCCATTGTTCTGTTCCTGACTCTGAAACTGTTCAAACACAGACAGAAGAAGGTGATGTTGGTTTCTTAGTTGGTCATCTTCAAGCACACCTGCCAACCGGAAATGCCACATAGTTCCTGAGTTCCTCAGAAAAGTATTTCCATCATGTCCATCTCTCTATATTTTTGGTCTGTTTTTCCATTTTAAAGTGAATTCTAGCAGGATCTACCTGGAGCCAACCATGAAGTAAATCAGAAATTGATGTCCCTGTACCATGCCTTCCAGGCGCCAGGATTACAACTCTCCTTGGACCTGGGGTGTTTCCCACATTTTCCTGACCTTACTAGAAACAACATGAGCTCCCCAAACAGTCTTTAATCATTCAAAAGCAGGCATAATGAATTATTAATCAAGAAATGAGTCCTTGTTAGGGTAGAACTAGCCAATAAATGATCCTTTCTAGGTAAGAAATTATGGAAAAGCAAATTAACATCTAGTTTGTGCATTAGATCCCTTACATATACTAGTTATAACTATACTAATGGTAAGAATTTCCATTCAAGTACCAAAGTGCTGAGGGAATTCTTTAGGCACAACTGGCCTTTCTTCAGCTTCCAAATTGGCCCACATATGTCCTTGTCTACATGTAAAGTTGATGCAGACTAGCAGGTTATAGAGCTCTTGGCCTAATGCAAATACCATGAGATGAATTAAAACACTGCTCTTCATTATTATTGAATTATTCTAAAACCCATTAATATTTTTGGCATTTCCAAACCAAAAAAAAATCTGAAAGGTTGATTGGAAGCATCATATTCAAACATCAAGTCCTTCGGCAGAACTGAATTTCATTAGAGACTTTAACTTCCCACGACCAAAACCCAAGTCAAAGGGACGAGAAGTAATTAAAAGGCTACCAGATATGGAAAGCCTGAAAGTCCCACATTCGTTGGCTGCACCTGGACAGGTGGACTCGACTGCAATGACCCGGTACCCACGGTGACCTTAAACACTGACAGGAACAAAATCCACCTTCCAGGTCAAGCCTGAAATAAGTGAGATAAACTCTTCAAGATACAAAGCGTAAGCAACGTTTGGGAATGTGGGACTTCCTAATAAAAATTTGTATTAAACTCCTGGAACATAAAAAACCTTTCTGAATCGGGATGTCTCTGTCTTGGCAGGCAGTATTGACTGACACACCCATGGACAGAAACTCTAAGTACAGTGCTTGGCAAATTATAGCAGCTCAAAAATATTCTTCAGTGCATGAATGACTGTTCATTCATAATGAGTGGATGAACAATTCAGTGATATTATGCCCATTAGTGATACAAGTGGTTGGCACCCACCCTCCCTTAACATGGTGGTATTTCAGCCAGGAGAGACTAGAAAAGGAATCCTTAGAAGGAAACAGAAGATTGACAGGTGACCAAAGAAACATGCTTAAAGGCATCTCATTAATAGAAGTGACCACTACAGCATTCCATGCCTATGACTAAGAACACACCTCACAGAACACTCACCTGAGCTACCACTGGAGGAGGGGAGGGGGGCAGCAGGGTACAAACATCAACAAGGTGTTCTGGAAATTCTCATATCTCAATGTGCTGCCTCTACCCAGAAAACAGAGCCTCAATCACGACATCAGCATCTCCCTGGTTCCAGAAAAGCATGTGCCTGTGCAGACTCCTGTTGTTGTTCCCTATGGCAGCAGAACTTACTCTTTGTGCTGAATGAAGGAATGGTGTTTCCTGAAAGCTGCTTAATGCTACAGAGCATGGCCCCAGGGATGACCCCAGGAACTCGCAAAGAAACTTGCATTTTGAAATGACTGGAAATGGAAGTGCCATGTGGCAAGATACAGCAATCCGTGGCCCAGGGTCATCGCAGACGCGAGGGGCCCGGCTGTCCCTGTGGATCCTGCCACCTGTGCCTCCCTCCTGGTTAAAGAAACTCACCGCAGTGCAGAATGCCTTCCGGAGCGGGACACACTGTTGCCCACGGGGGAGGGCAGGTTGCTGCCTCGGTGCAGGTCCTCGATGGACCTGCTCCAGGGCTTTGATTTGTCCACCGAGCTCTCCACGGTGCTTTCCACGCTTTCAAAGTCAAACCTGAAACAAAAGAGAAATGCCAGGAGAGACTGAGAGATTCACATTTACACAAACACCTGGATGTGCATAACTTGCTCCTTCCTTTTGTATGTCTGCACCTTAATTTGGGTAGTCTTTGCAAACAAACAAACAAAAACTAAAAGGGAAGTACAAAAAATATCCATGGACTCCATGGTAGCTTCAAAAATACAGAATGACAAATACTGGGCCAGGCAAAGTAGATGAACAACAGCGAAACTTAAATAGTGACGTATCTGCATTTTACGATAAAGTTTGCTAGCTTACCAATTGCCAACATTGCTCAGATGGGAGGTGGGGGAGGGTGGAATCGTACAGATGTCTTCATTTTGCTTTAACACGTCAATATGTTAGGCTTATACTAATTTATTCCTACCCATCAATTTTCACTGCGCATTTTCTCCTGGTGTGTTGGCAAGTGTGCTTTTCCAACCATATGTGATACATTACTCGCAAACGTATGAATTTGCTTTGATTTTGGAATAGCTTCCCAATGTGGTGCTCTTTAAAGTAGGACTGTTGTTTCTCTGACATTTTTGAGGTTATTACTCATGTTAACCATGTTAGAATAAATGGCAAGTTAAGGCACTCGGTCTTGTATAATTTTAGGGGCAGCATTTCTAAACAGACAGACCTTTGAGTTCTATGTATTTTCCCCTCCCAAAGTCAGAAGCTCTGCGCTCCCCCAAAAAGTATTTTATCAACTGTTTCTACCCATAGTTCTACCTGACCCGATAGAGAATAAACAGAAGGCAACTATAATTAATATCATCTGGAAGATCTTGAAGGCTATCACAGAAGAGACAGCACCAATACATATTGGAAATAATGAGTATGACTTTTTACGAAAAAGTATGACTTTTATAAAAAGTATGATGGCCAAAATAAAATATTTGGTTAGAACAGTCATCTGTAAACCAGGTGATGTTCTCCATCTATTTAATATTAATCCAGATGTCACAGACTGGTATATAATGGCATTGAATTCGTCTGACAATTCTGTCATGCCTTAGGATTCAGGAAACAGTGCTGAACAGAAAAGAGGTGGAAGCTGTGTAATCGAATAGATCCTTGAGTACTAAAAATAGAAGTCTATAATTGAGATAGGAGAAGGTAAGCCGAGGGGACATTCCAAGGTCACTCAAGTGTGCCCCACTCTCGCCACATCTCTCTGCAGCCCCCATGCCATTCAGCTGTCCAGCTCTCATGTTCCTTTCGGCTGGTCCCCAACTCTCACACAGCAGAAAAAGGAACCACCGTGGTGAAAGCTTGTGCTTTAGGGATGGAGCCTGAGCCCGCTGTTTCACATTCGTGGGCTAGGAAGTTGTCACATGCCAAGGAATAGCAAGAAATTTTCCAGCCCGTTCGTTTCAAGAAAGAACAGAAATTATGTGTTTCTATATAATTTGTTATCTAATTAATGCAAAAGAAAATCAAAACTAATCAGCAAAAATGTGAAGCCAATGCAAAAAAAAAAAAAGATTGGGAAGCAAAAGCTCTGAGTTCTGATCTTTTGTTGGGTTTGATCTTCTGCCATAGACGGGAAGAATTCCCTCATGGTGGCATAGTCTTTTCCCATGGGTTTTTTGTAGGCATACATTTGGAAAAGCTGGTTCCAAAGCTCTACTGTGATTAGATAAAAGGTTAATTACAGAAAACATATAGCACAAAGCATACCATTCTTTTCATTATTCCTGATGTTTCGTAGCCCTTCCTTAATTCCACAAATAATCTTACAGATTATAAAATATGCAACAGAGTACTATTATTGGTTTGTCATATGATATGAAGTGCAAAAGGAGATTAGCAGTTTTGATATAGTGGGAGATAAGAAACAACCTTTGGGAGAGTATTCTATAAAAACTAAGATTTTATTTCAGAGGACACTTTCTCAGGAAGATAAGCACCTGTGTTTTGGTTTTTCTTACTCTATTCCATATATAAAACTTATCAAAGCTGAAACTCATCAAGCCAGTTTCAGTTAATTCTTTAGTTTCTGCATCAATAAGGTAGGAATAATTATAGCTTTCTCCTCACAAATTCTCAAGGAAGTGATGAGGATAATAAGATAAAACAGCATCTGGTTAGGTCTTAAGATTTTATTGGAGTGAGGCAATATTAAAAAACAAGTGATTGCTTTTAAAAGAAGAATGGGGGCGGGGGGGGGGGAGAATATCACCTGAGCCATAATATCCTCCAGTAAATTAAAAATACAATATGTGTGAGAGCATATCTGTGGATGCAGAAATACTTTTTGATTAAAGGAGGAAATATAGAGACAGAGAAGCATCAATCAGATGCTCAAAACTCAGAGGGAAGGTAGGGGAGGGTGAGGGTGAGGGGGAAAGGTCAACCAAAGGACTTGTATGCATGCATATAAGCATAAGCGATGGATGTGGACAACAGGGGGTGGGAGTGAGGGTAAGGGTAGGATTGGGGGGATGAGGGGACATTGGGAGGATAAGGACACATTTGTAATATCTTAATAAAGGGGAAAAATAAATAAAGGAGGAAATGTGGAGAACAGAATATCTCATTGAAATGTACTTTTCATTCCTGTTATAAATCTTTCCACAAGTGAAGTGAATAAGAAAAGTTTATGAATTAACAAAAACTAGGTTAAATAAGTTACTTTTTTTCTGCTTTGCTCCAACTTTGTCCCCTTCACCTTTATGAAAGGTAAGTCAATACAAATACATAAAAGTAAAAAGGGCAAGCCTCTTGGTCACCACTTTCAGTCTGCTATTTATTTCTGTATTTACTAGCACATGCAAATACACATATATATGTAATTTTTTAAAATAAAAAGGGAGTCACTCTTCTGTATCCTGCTTTACTCAACAATATATCATACACCTCTCTCAGTAAGTGCTGGAGCATTCTACCTTATGGATATATGTGACTTGAGCACTAAACAAGTAGTTCTGTTTAAAATAAGGACTCTTCAAGGGTAATTTTTACTCCGCTGTTTTACTTCTGCCTTAAAAGCATTTCTAATAACAATTATGGGATTTGCTTTTAGCAGTTTGAGTAGAAACAAGCCTCCTTAGACCATAGCACATCTGCTTCTGGTTTCCCGGGCAGTGCAGGGTGTAACTGTACCACTGAGCTGCATCTTCTGCGACCACATAAAATGCCAAAGAAACAAGCCAAGTTTTACTTACGTTACCGCATACTGTGCAAACGACAGATACTCCACCAGGACATCGAGGCCTTTGTTTTCTTCATTCAAAAACTCTCTGACCCATCTGTTGGGGGAAAAAATTATGGGGGAGATTTGTCACATGCTCTGCCACAAAAGGCCACGGTGAAAACTTTTGTTTTTCCACCACAAACACTTATTGCCTGAAAGGAAATCGGTACTAAGGAAGCCTGGACTCTATCACACCAGGTAGGAGCTTTCAGATAGACCAACTAAGAAAACCGCAACATTTCAATGTGCAAGAATAGGGGGCCAAAGGCGTATGTGCGCCTTCTTTGAATTTTACTGCTTAAGAGACTTAAGATAACCCCTAAGAAACTTGCTTAAAAAAGGCACTTGCTAAATGTACTTTTTCCACCATAACTGATCCTCAGCCTGCTTGCTACAGGAGCCAAGACTGCACGGGGAGGGAGGCAGACGGGGGACATGACGACATAACCACTGAAATCCAGGCGCGAGTCCAAATCCACATTCAACTCTTTTCTTGGCACATGAAGCTGCAGAAAACGCTCAACCAGCCAATGAGAGACCAGTGTTTATGGGCTTCTGGAAATTCGATAGGGATGATTTGCTTAACTTTTTCCACGAATGTTAAAACCTTTCAAGAAGTTGCAGACACCGCATACCATCATCAGAGTTGAGACGTGACAAATACCATGTTTTTCAAAAATTCTTTTGAAAATAGGACCACCTTGCATTTGAGTGGTGGGTTTGAAAGCAGTTCACTGGTTTTCTTTTACAAATTTTTATTCATTTGTCATAATCATTCCAAGAGATGAAGTAGGCTAGTCTAACAGAACTCTTAGGTACTGGAGATAAACAGTTGTTACCCCACCTTACAGGGTTCCCCAGGGCGTCCATCATCAGAAAACATGGGACACCCCATTAAGCCTTCACTAGATTGGAAACTCCAACAAATAATATCTGCTACTGTCTCACACGTGAAACAAGGTACATCTGCCAAGGACATTTCAAAATGGCTGACTCTTCCATGTCCTTAAGGATGAGCAACCCCTTGAGGTCTCTGTCTTAAAGGAAGAAAAAAAAAATCTGGAATCAGGATGCCTGCTTTTTATTTTTGTTTTTTGGAGGGTATTTTCTTTGTTTTTGTTTTATCCTCACAGTTCATTCTTCCTTAAAAAAAAGTTTTCTTTTTAATTGGTTTTAGAGGAAGGGAGAGGAACAGAGAGATAGAAACAGCAATGATGAGAGCGAATCATTGATCGGCTGCCTCCTGCACGCCCCTACTGGGGATTGAGCCCGCAACCCGGGCATGTGCCCTGACTGTGACCTCCTGGTTCATAGGTTGATGCTCAACCACTGAGCCATGCTGGCTGGGCCATTCTTCCTTTTATGTCCCTCCACCTCCAGGATGTAAACTCATGTCTGTAGGTGGTTCCAGGAGACAGACAGCAAGGTGGGGGGAAAAAACACTGGCCTCAGATTTCCCCCAACAGCCTCGGGCAGACTATCACAAAATGTATGCATTTAACATAGCCCCACGCAAGCAAATAACATTTAATTTTCAAGAGACCTGGCGTGGCAACCCTGGCAAGGAAACATACCACCACTGGGCCCCACAAAGTGGCTCTGCTACGGGAGCTCACCCAAACTAACAGGGCCAGATGCTGGTCAGGGCCGAAGTTTCATTCCAAAACCACTGCACACACAACCTCACGGCATCTGCTACTAGATACTTATTTTCATCTGATTTATTTTAATTGGTCCCTACACAACTAGGCCTTAGGAGAGAGTGGATTTTTTAAGCACCGATAATTAGAATCTTGGAAATAGTACAGAATTTTTTTCTTTTTACAACTGGCAGGAGACTAAAGAAAGGCTAAAAGTCACTATGAGAACCGGATGACTAGCTACAAACCCCTCGGCTGCTCTCAGGCCTCTCCGATGGTCTGACCTACGGGCTCTGACGGCACCATCTGAACGGGCCCTCGGGGTGGGTCACAGCAGGGAGCCCCAGAGCTGGGCACGGGGGTCATCTTCGTACAGGAAATGTCACCAACGGGCCCAGGTTTTCCAGGGCAGTCTCGGCTCTCCATATCCTCAGTGGCCACGGGGAATACTCGAATGTAGGAGCTGAGAAAAACAGCCACATACATAGGTCCTTCTGGTTGATTTTCCAGACACAGACTCTAAAAGAGTAGAGCTGGTCCAGGACGCTCTGAGGACCTGTGATGGCCTCAACCACTGTCATAGCCATCTCACTTGAAACTTCAGCTGCACAGTTAGACAGACATGAGCAGAGCAAGGGCGAGCAGGTAGGTACAGAAGGCCATGCAGGCGGAAAGCCTAGCGTCAGACAAAGCTGGGAAAACAAGGACCTTGTCCCCAGACCCCCTGATCTTTCATATTGCTGGTCATGCAGCTCGGACCCTCCAGGACGGTGAGGTTCTGATCCACATCACATACATCTAGGCCTCAGTTGTGCTTCAGCTCCAGGCCCAGAAAAGCAGCGAAACAGACAAGCGAGGCCAGGGCTGGCAACAGGACCAGCTGCATTGATTAATGACCAACCAATCAGTGGAGACCATGACCCTGAAAGGGCACACCTGGAAAGTTGATGAATATTCTATTGGGATCCTCCCCTGCACCCTCCAGATAAATACTCTCAAGACAAGAACCCAGTGCCTCTCTCTAAAAGGAGCAGTACTCTCCCCCGCACCACCGCCCCCCCCGCCAATTCCCCTTCCCCATCCCCCAGCAGTGGTTTCCTTGCCTCCCTCTTTCTCCTAAGCTCCAAGGGCCCTTCTTTCGCCCGTGTAGCTTGTCTCCTGAGCCCATTTCTTCGATGGCTCACTTCTTCTACCTCTGTGACCTTAAATAAACTTCCCCTTATAGTTTGAAGAAAGAAAAAAATGGAAAAAACGTTCAGCCACAAACTGGATAGGAGGCAAATGACTCAGAGATAATGAATTTTAAAAAAAAGGAAGGAAGAGAGAGAGGAAGAAAGGAAAGAAGGTAGGAAATAGCCAAGCACAGCCAGAGCTTCAATTCTCTTGACTCAAAATACTAATATGCATACAGTCTGATGTAAGGACAGACTATTAATTAGCTTCCCTTACTTCAATCCAATGTTCTTATCAATACCTCCACTCCCACTTGATGACTTTGAGCAAAAGTGCCTTAAAAACAACTTCCAAGTTGAAAGGCAGGTGCCAGCTGCTCAGTTCCTGCTCATGTCCCGCCTCAGAGATTTCATTTCATGTGGACAACCTCTTTCTAAGCTGCAAGATCTTCCCTGGGCCTTTGATCTGGCCCAGGCACCCCGAGGTGATTTACGAAATAAAAGTATATCATGGTTGATTATCTTACCCCATTAGTCAAATGATATCAGGTCAGTAAACTCATTTCAGCAAAAAAAGGCTATAAACAGCCTTCACTTTTCCCCTCTCAATCCCTGTCCCTTCCACACTGGGGATATTCTGAACAGAAGAAAACACAGGTGAGAGTGAACTTCTGTGGAAATGAAAGAAGACGTAAAGAAAAAAGGCAAACATAAAAAAAGGGCAACTTTCAAGCAGTATCTTGAAGCTAAAGACATAAAAAAAGGATGCCCCATTCTGCAGATTTATGTATATAATCATGCAATGAAATAGCATAAATATTGAGTTCCTGTAGTCAATTTCCATTTTCACCTCTGTGCATGCTATACACATTTTGTTTTATATATTACCAATAGGCAAACAGTTTCAAATTGGGTAATGATAGGTTTTGGAAAGCAGAATTATTTTTGACTCTGATAGCACGCATCACGTACTAAGCACCTCACAGATTCACTGTAATTACATGCTGTAAAAGTGAATTAGGCAAATTTCCAATCAGCTGCTCAGGAGCCAGAAGAGACGTGGACAAGAAAAATAGCTCCAGAAAAAACCTTCTTCAAGGACGAGATCTAAGTGCAGGTGCCAGTAGCTACTGTTTTATTGTCGACAGGTCAAAGCTTCATTTCCGAATTGCTGTTTTCTCTCTACCCCGCCAAATCTTAAACCTCATTATTCTCAGCTAGAGACACAAGATAAAGGGACAAAGCATGAACTCCCTTTGTTAGTCTCCAGCCTGTGGGCCACATAAGGCCCGTGAAATCATTTGGTCTGGCCCTGCCAAGGCATTAGGGGTGAGTTAATTAAACGTTTGACCAAATATAGCAGGCTAATTTTTAAGTTGATAACTTTGTATAGCTTGCAAATGATGCTATAAATATCCAAATGGCCCTTGGCAAGAAAAGGTTCCCCACAGGCATGGTGAACTGCAGTGGCTAAAAAAATCATGAGAGAGAGAGAGAGAGAGAGAGAGAGAGAGAGAGAGAGAGAGAGAGATTGAGTAGCATCACCCAGATTCATCATTAGCTACCAAATCTAGGAGACAGTGTCACAAATTGGTTCTCAAAGTATAGCCCACACACCACTAGGGGTCCCTGAGACCCTCCCAGGGGTTTGTGGAGTTACAAGTGTTTTCATACAAATATTAAGAAAGTAGTTATTTTTGTCACCATGCTGACATTTGTACTGATGGTACAAAAGAAATGTGGGTGGCCCGGCCGACGTGGGTCACTGGTTGAGCATCGAACTATAAACCTGGAGGTCACAGTTCAATTCCCAGTCAGGGCACATGCCCGGGTTGCAGGCTCGATCCCCAGTGTGGGGCATGTAGGAGGCAGCCAATCAATTATTCTCTCCCATTACTGATGTTTCTATCTCTCCTCCCTCTCTCCTCCTCTCTGAAATCAATAAAAAATATATTTTAAAAAAGAAAGAAGTGTGGTGAGAGAAAGAAATGGGAGAACATTTAATAGATAAAACCCACTGCTGCCACTAAAGAATGCACCTACTTATTTTATTCTTCATCCCATGCCCTTGGGAGGATAAAAGTTAGCTTCACTTAAAGCTGCCCGTAGGGAGGCAATAACAATTCTTGATCACATTTAAAGCTTCTCTCTTCTATATACATCTTGACTTTTCTGTGTGGCAAAATGGGAAGCTCGCGTTAGGCACTTCTGCTGCCTACCCCAATGCCGCTATTGTCTTGAGG